GAGCAACCGAGGAGCTAGTCACGCATGGATCTAGCAGCAAAGGCATTCGGCTCTGCTCTTCCCCAGAAGTCCACGTACCAGGGAGCCGCTGAAAACAAACGTTACTAGGTTAATATCTTTTTTTGTACCAAAATACAGTAAGCGCGTGTCTCCCCACACAAAAGCTAATCCACGGAAAAGAATATGCAAGACACCGTGTTGTCTTCCGAGGCCGAGCGCCGGCAGCGCGGCGCGCCGACCCGACCCGACGGAGCCTTGGAGAGCCGCCACGAGGGGAAGCCGCGCTCGGCTTCCCCCCACAACGGCCCTTAATCCTGCTCCGGGCACGCGGCGACAACTCTCCCTCCCCGCAGAATGGATTTAATACTTCCACTCCGGATTAGAAACTAAAGCAAAACCCAAAGCTTATTCCAACATATCTGCACTGAAAAGCGTCAAGAGACGCTGGAACGACGTTTTCTGTCTAGCCAGAAACAAAACAAATCTGAATTTTAAAGGACAAGGTGTCAGTCTGGGTGGTGTGAGCGAGCTTCCCGATGGATGTGTCCTCTTGAGGAGTTTTTGTTTTGTTTTGGGAAGTGTTATGAGGTAAACTTTTAGGAATCTGGTTTTATGTACCTTTATTCTTTTAAGGACTTAATCCCATGAATACATCTCATTATAAGCAGGAATAAGACTTCATGTGTGGATGTGGGAGCTGGCTCTGGCTACTTTTTATGCATTTGAGATTTATACAGAAGCTTAGAAAACATGTACAACAATGGACTCGGGTTCACAAATATAAGAACAGCTTTACTTCCCCCCCACAAGACACTGAGCAATGTGCCTTGCATGAAGCACTAAAATATTCACTTTGAAGATTATTTTTTTCAGTCAGACTAGTTGTGGGGCCGAATACAATACATCACTTAAATCCCCTGAAGCTGAGCTGGCATGAATATAAAAATAGGGTGAATTTACTCTTTGGCCCCAATTTAAAAAGCTGCAAATTCCTCTTGTTTCAGTTTCTAAAGGATGTGGCCAGAGAATCAGCAATCTTACACAGCACAAACCATCTCAGGGAAAGCTGACTATGAAGTCCAGAATTGCAATTTCAGAAAGCAGCACTCTGAAGTGTACTGATAAATGGAAAAATATAAACATCTTAAATACTACTTCTTCATGCTTAATCGTAAATATTTTCCTTGCTTCCCAAAACATCTTCCAAGAGGTAACAACTAAACACAGCAAGATGCTATAGCACTGCTAGGCAAGTTCATGAAACACAGGGCAATCCAGTGATTTACGGAGAGGTTAAATAAACTCAAGATGTTCCACCAAATGCAGTGTGAAGCAATGTCATTTTCCGTAGGGATCTCCAGGCCCCAAGGCTCCCCCATGCCTTACAAGGGGGCAACAGGCGACTAATGACAGGAGCAGGAAATGCACCCTCCTCTGTACACAGACTCTTCAAAACCTGGAATATTTTAGAACATATATACACATCCCTGTACAAAGTGCGTACCTCCAGAAGGAACACATGTACAACTTCTGCAAAGTCCCAACACAAGCACACTGTGTGTCATTTAGAGTGCTTTTCAGCAATATGGAAAATTGCTAGATCATGAGAATCCTGATTGTTTTCCTATAAAAACACCACCAGTCCTTTATGCACGAATACGCAAATTCTTGGTCAGGTTTTCAAACACTTCTGGCAGCAGTGAAAAGTCTACTTAGTGTCCAAAGAGACCAGTGTTTCTACAGTTCAGTGGAGCCTGAGAAGAGGAGCAAGGAATTTCTTTGATAAGGATGCATTTTATCATTGAATAAGTTTCTGAAACTTAGTGACAAGTATAACAAAGAATAGAAAATGGTGAAAGTTAAAGACGCACTAGGGCTAAATACTCTTCCTGTGCTTTCCAGAAGGCAATGAGCACGTTTCTCTGTATGCTGCATCATGCCCACTACAGCAACACCCCGAGGTCTGATGAACTAAATCCAGCATAGGTTAACACAACTCTGGGTTTATGCTTGTAGATAAAAATCAGTGGTATTTTCCTGCTTCCCACCACCTTGGAGCAGATTGGCTGGAGATTAGAAGGTGAACATCTAACCCATGGTTCAAAGAGCCCAGAGGATTCTTTGTGTAACAATTAACGATGATTTGATGACATTACTGATTAGTTTTCCCAGGAAATCAGACGATTTGGTGAAGCATTGTTACTCAGAGGCATGATAATAGAGTCACATTTGGGGGGAGGGGAAACGAACTACTTTTGGGGCAGAGGACCTTAGGCTTTACACCCTTCCTCGCACTGTGTTAACACCTACAAACTAGTCCTCAAACGCCAGCTCCTATGCAGCTACACATGCCTGCTGATAGGCACGCTCCACACCACTGGTTGTTTCCTGGTGTGGAAGAAAGCACGTGCCAGCATTAAATTGAAGTTTAAAGAGAAATAACAAAAAAAACCAGTAAGAGCCACCCTTGCAATACACAAGGGGAAAAATATAAGTTATAACGCTGTGGAATCACAGCGAAGCTGCACAATAAAATGTTGTTCTTTTCAGTACAATTATTGTGCAAGTTTAAAGTCTCCCTCCTATTAGAAGACTAAAGTAAATTTCAGTTTGGTGGTAAATATTTAACAGCTATATTTCACAATTAAATATTTAACAGTTCACGCATTAAGAATATTTCAAGAGTTGCACTATAAATATGCCGCATTCCTAGAGCTTTCCTACAGCAAAAATAGTTTGGAAGCAATCGGAAGCAATCTCTTGTTTTGTTTCAATTTCACTATTTCTCATCCAGCACCAAAAAGCATTGAAAGGATATCTACATGGCAGGGCTTTGGGATACTGCCCCTTTTGAAGGGTTACCTTTTTCATCATTGTCCTCATTTTCCTCACTGAATCCAGACCAGTCAGGTCAGCCAAGGCTGAGACATGGAAAAGCAGAGCAACGGTAGGGCATTCAGGCTCCCTGCCAAAGCCGAGATCTTTCGGCACAGTGATGTGCTCTGAAAAGGCTGTCTCTCCTCCACCTCATTATCCTCATGATCCTGCCT